CTTATAATTATTCATGCACTTATTCATCCGACAAATGCATGAGTATCTATTATTTGCCATGCAGAGTCTGTGTAGTAGGGGAAAAATAATGATGAATACCATTCTCTCATGAGACTGATATTCATGTGATATTCATATTACACACCATTAAATTTAAAAAATGAGATATATGTGGATAACAATAAGTCCAGTGAACAAAAAACAGTCAAGCAATATGTTCAATATGTAGGTGGATGGGTGGGTTTCATTCTAGAAGGAAGGTTTCTCTGAGTAAGGACATTTGAGGGGAAAAAGCTAATGAGAATGAGCCACCAGGTAAAGCTGTAGGGGTGAAGCATTCTAGGCAGAGGAAAGAACAGCTTGTCAAACAGCTTGAGGAAAGACCAAACATGAAAAAGGCCTGTGCGGTCGCTGTGCAGTGAAAGCGGGGGTGGATACAGGATGAGATTAGAGTGCTAGGTGAGGACGGCAGGTGAATGATATTGCATCTTATGTTTTATAGCAATGCATTAGGAGGTTAATATATATGTAGTGGGAAGCAATGGGAGAGTTCTAAGCAAGAAGGTGATGTGATGTGTTTTAGATTTTAATAGCTAGTTGCTGTGTAGAAAATATTTTGTGGTAGGAGTGAGTGCACCTGTAGAGTTAGACCAGATAGGAGATGATTATAATAATGTAGGTGAGGGAAAATAGTGGTTTGGATATGCAGAGTAGCAGAAGATATGATGAGAGGTAATTGCATTTAAGTTCAGTTTTGAAGATCAGCTTCACAAAATTCACTTATCAGTGGGCACACAGAGGAGAAAGGGGAATCAAGAATGATGGCTCAGTTTTAAACTGAGCAGATCTTTGGATGGAGGTGTTATTAACTGAGGGAAAATTGGAGAATGAGGAGTGTAAGAGAAGAGAGCAGAACTCAAGAAAATTCAAAAGCCATGTGACTTGACCAACTTCACAATTCAAGTATGTCCTTCATGGTTAGAAAACTGAACCCTTTTACAGACCCCTGCAAGACTGCTTCAGACTTCCTCGAACTCTCCTAGAGTTTCATGACAGATTTTAAATCAGATATCAGAAAACACACTCATATTGAGTGTGTGAATGTGTTTTGAATCTTCTCTGAGAAACATGTTTAACCTGCTCTGCTCTGATAATATAGGACTTCCCTAAGGTGCGCCCCAAGTCACCAGACAAGTATAGTGCTTTGCTAATGCATCAATTGTATTTGAAAATTGTAACGGGTTGTGAGATCAACTTTAAGAAACTTAACTACACGTCATTTATAATGTCACTTGTAAATTATGAACTATAAGGAACTATTTCTGGCAAGTTTTATTTACAAGACTGATTATTAAAGCCTTTAAGCTTTTTCTTAAGGACAATGGAAGCCACAAGAGGGTTTTAAGCATAGATATAATAAAAGGGGCATATTTTTTTTTCTTGAGAAGATCCACTTGGCTACATGTTGTAGAAAAGATTCTTACAGCAATGAACATGAATTAGTGCGATTGAGTAAGTCTGGTGACAAAGGGGACCCCTAGTCTGAAGCATCACAAATATTGAAGCATATATACCAGGAATGAAAGCAAGGTGTACAGATTAAGTGTTCTATGGGCATGTTGATTGGTGGGATATAAGACCCAAATTTGCTGTCTTTTGTTCCTGGTGGCACAATTCACTGAAATAGGCAACAGTGAAAGGCAGATGCATCAGAAGAAGAGATGGTGATTTTAATCATGTTGGACGTACTGAGTTTGATGCACCGGCAAGACACCCAAGTAGGAGGTGCGGTAGGCTATACAGTCATAATGCTCAAGAAAAAGGCCTGAGCTACAGAAATCACCTGTGGAGAGCTGTAATGGAATCTGTGGAGGTGAATGAGATAACAGCATATTAAGTGAGAGGAGAATATGGTTTCTGAAAAATCTGAAAAATACAAACATGTTAGAAGAGGAAAACAAGTTTACAAAAGAGAATAAGCTGCAAATGAAAGATAGAAAGAAAACCAGGAATTCATGAGGCCATAAGAAGACAACATTGAGAAAGGGAGTGATCAACTGCCTAGATGTTTTAGAAAAGGCAAATACCTAAAAGATTGAAAATTATTCATGGCATTTAGCAATAAAAATATACTTACTTGATGGTCTTGTCAAAATAGTTCACAAAGAAGAGGATTAAAATTTATCTTCTAATTCTCCCATGGACCTATTAACCTACCCTAGCTACATCATGCTCTGAGAGACAGCAAAGCCATCTTGCCAGTGCATGGGTGAAGATTCAGTCATACTTCCTTCAACAATTACCTTCAGTCTATAGGTGGACCCTCAAGGGTTGGGGAGGGGAATGGAATTTCCCTGTAGTTCATATGGGATAGCCTGCAGAAGGGGACATTCAGGAAACTCCATGAGGGCTCTTGATAATTCTCCGACCCAACAAAAATTTTGGATGCCATTTCCAAAGGGTCCAGGACTTGTTATCCTACTATCCCAAGGGTCTCAACCTCTGAACCACTGGCAGGGCTCATTAAGGCCCAGGCTGATAAACTGGGTGAATGCACTCCATCAAACATTCTGTGGCTGCAGGAATCTCTGAAAGGCCTCTTGTGGGAACCCAAAGGTAACTCTGTCCATGACTGACTCTCTGAGGCCTGTTCATAGTCACATGTGGGCATTTTTTTTTTTTCCCTTCACCAAAGCACCAATATCCATACCCCATCTCCCTACCTCCCCCATGCCCTGCACCCTCGCCCCTGTTCTCTCTGGTAACCATTATCTTCTTTTTTGCCAAGTTCAAGTTTTAGTCCTACTATTCTTTATGCCAATATGTTTTATGGGTATTTATAACCTGCAGATTAGTGAAACCATCCAATATCTGCCTTCAAGTTTTTTGACTTATTTCACTGAACATGATCACCTCAAGTTCCACCCATTTTGTCTCAAATGCCACCATTTCATCTTTCTTCACAGCTGTGTAGTACTTCATTGAGTATATGTTCCACAACTAGGGAGTACAAGTTGTTAGAGCCCCTCTGGAAAGCCGTATGAGGGTTTCTTAAAAAAATAAAAATGAAGGGGGAGAGGAGAGGTAAAAATAAATAAATAAATAAATAAAAATGGAAATTCTCTGTGATCCTGCAATACCTATTAGGTATTTATCCAAATAATTTGAAAACTCTAGTATGAAAGATTTATATACACTTACATACATAGCAGCATTGTTCACAATTTTCAAGTTTCAGAACCACCCTAAGTGCCCTTCAACAGATGAATGGATAGTGAAATTGTGACACATGATCTGATTCTGAACATAACACTGACTACAATGGATGTTCTCCATTTATGCTGAAATATTCAAATGTGTTTCCCTAGCAAAAACCTTACCAGACTCCATCATGGCAATTCAGTTGGTATATGTAAAGTAGATAAGAGTTCGTTTGACTCAGTGGCCATCAACTGACAGCTATATAATATTGGATAGTGTAAGCCTCCTTTCTTATCTGTGAAATGGATGAACTAAACAAGATGCTAAGTGTTTGCATAATAGTTGGCATACACAATAGGAAGGTATCTATAAATGGTAACCATTATTACTTGAAGTTAAGTTGAAAAACTGGACCTGAAATCAAAAATATGGGTTCAAATGAAGCATCTGAGTCTGTTTTTGCCACCAAGGTGTGAAAGACATAAAGCTGACTTAATTTAATTGTTACAACAATTAAATTCAAGGAGATTGGCTGGCTCTTCTTTTTTTTTTTTTATGATGTATTTACTTATACAAGAACCGGGGTATAGGCCAGATGTGCAGGAGGGTGAGAGGATTCACCAGAGACAGAGCGGGGAACAGAACAGGCAGACTGAGATACACTGCTGAGGGGAGCAGTGGGTGAGACAGGAGAGGTCTGCCACGACATGTGGGTATCTCCCCGGCTGTCCGGGATTGAACATGCACTGCAGAGGCTGAGGACAGCTTCACAGTGCTACGCTCAACTGCCTGCGCCACCAGGGAGGCCATGGTTCTTAGTAGGTACCCAAGAAAGAGCAAACTGCCATGCACTGCTATGTTTCTTTCATTTATTTTCGCACAATTCTGTGTATCACTGTCAATGAATAGTTACTGTTTATCAGAGTTCACCTTCCTCCCTTTTAGCACCACGAATGTGGGATTTGACGAACTCAAACCTAACATAAATGCACTAGAGATTTTTTTTTTTAAATTAGGTAAATTAAATAATCCTAGAATCACCTTCTAGTTGCCAATATTATGAACGTTTTGCCTCACCAAAAGGGGGAAATTAGAATGGTTTTGGGAAAGTGATTCTTCATCTTTAATCTGCCAACTTGAAGTCCTTTCTTTGATTTGACATTGTTGCCTTTTACTATTTTCCAGAGCTATCTCCCCCCTGCTTTTATGAAATAGTAACTACTTAGGAAAGTTAGTTATGTTCATGATTTCCTTGTGAAAAATTTAGCCTGTTTAGAATGGCAATAAATCATCTTTAAGCATCAAAATAAAATGAGAAAATTGATCTTAAAAAATTGTTTGGGTGCTTCAAAACATGACTGAGTTCAAAAAAGAGTGAGATGATAATTTGCTTTCTGTCACCTCGAAAGTTAACTGGGGGTACACAACACACACACACACTTTTTCCTGACAGCAAACAGGCAAATCCCAGACAAAACTGCAGGGCAGGGAGATAGAAAGGGAAAAAAAAAAATCCTGGAAAAGCTGAGCTTCCAATCTCCTCCCACTAGTCTCTGTGAAGGATGACTTCAGTCCCTTTCTTAACTAATTCTGTCACTGTAAAATCCTACAGTCATTCTTCCACACATAAAGGACAAATAAGCTCAAGAGGAGGATCTAGATGCTTTCAGTTTTAACTATTCACCAATGGTGGAAAAGGCAGAATGCCTAAGCTATGTCTTAGTGGCCAATAGGATAGCTGTGTATCTCCCACATGACTCGCTGCCCCTGTCTTTCACATGGGCTGTAATTTAGTTCAATTCAGAACTGCAGATAGTACAGCTTTCACAGGAGCAAAGGATGCCTGAGCACAAGTGGCTGAGTTCCGAGTGACTTTATGAAGCACTTTCCTACCTCCTTCCTGCTTGCAGACTGGGATTCTGCACCTGCATTAGGGACAGTCTGACAAAAGCTTCTGCTGTGCCTCCGGGAACAAGGAACTAGCACGAATATCCACTATAAAATTGTAAGTATGTATTTCTTTCCGTCAAGTGTACTGGCTAAGATAGTTTTATGTCATAAGCATCAGATATTTGAAGATATTTTCAGGGTACTCTATCATACATGTTTTGAAGGATATTCGACTGGCAGGAAAATGTCCAGGGACAATTGTTGCATGTTTTATTATGTTAAAGATAAAGAATGAAAAATAAAAGTCAGGCATTCCAAAGAGTAGCTGCAGGAGGCTGCACCCCGGAACATTGGTCTAGTATGCTGCTTTGTTCATAAGGAAAAATGAAGGCGCACACATATGTACTTAGTTCACTGCTTTTTGCTCTTTATGTCTAATCAGGTTTGATCTGTCCCCAAGAAAAATAAAAGGCAAACTTTGCTGACTCCACTGACAAGGCTCCACAGACTTTCCAGACATCTGACAGTTATTATAATTAGCTATGAAAGACTGCTAAGACACTTGGGGGCAAATAGCTCTTAAATTCTGAACAATGGCTTCAAGCCAGGGCTTTTCTTTTTATTTATTTTTTAACCAGCACTTTTCATTTTATAGTAAGGACAGAGACTGAACTGGTTTTGGTGTTTTACAAAATGTGAAATAAAGTCCCCGCCGAAGTGAAAGGCGACTGAAAGTGGCCAGGGTAAAGGAGACAGAAAAGACAGCTTTCTGTCTTAGGATCCAGCCTTCCATGTATAAGGATTTTTTTTTTTTTTTTTTTGAAATTCCTAATAGGGTGGAGTGAGGATGTGGGGGTGGGGAGGAAGCATGCAGAAGCTTCTATATAGAAGAATGCTTAAAAAATAAAATATTGGGGAATTTCTTCTTACTAGCAGGCAAACGATGTGATTAGCATCTAAGTTACATTCATGGTAAGATCTTTTGATGGAGTTTCAAACAGAAGCAACATACAAAGCAGATTTTTTTTAATTTATAAAATAATTGGAAACAAATGGGGAAGAATGAGTCTATATTATTGCATTCTTTTTACATTCAATTAGGGTAATCTAGCCATGCATTATGCCTTTACTTCTAGAATTATCCAAATCCTTTAAAAAGTTATACACTGAGTCTCATAAGAAATTAAAAGACAAATCAAACTGATGTGATTTATACTGATGAAGATTTTGAACGACAAAGCCTCCAACAAAAAGAGAATTTGTAAGAAAACATTGCCCTCCTCATTTTAAAAGGAGAATATTAACTCCATCAATTATTGAAAGGAATTATTCAAAGGCTCCAGACATAACTAATTATGGCTTAAAGAGCTCTGCCAGAGCAGAGCTTGTGTTCTAATTATAAAAGTCCAGGAGGTTAGGATTCATTTTTTAAAGAGGACTTGGACGCAAATTTTCACATAATCTTTTTTAAATACACCATTTTTGGTCTTTGTCTGCTCTCATGTTATCTACACCTCCCCCACCGCCGCCCACTGTGTGCTGAGACACCTGAAGGCTAGACATAATGATCAACAGAGCTCCAGCCTGTCTGGACTGCAGCCAGGTTTTTCCCCCTCTACAATCAAGGAGCTTGCACGCAATGCATGCCGAGCCTATTCCACTGCTATGTGCAGATCCGGGATGGAAGTCTTACACATACTGCAGAAAGATTAAAGACAACAATATCCCCTTTCTCTTACCCCAGACAGCCTCAATTTTTAACCCTTTCATTGCCTTTAAAACCAAGACGTCTTGCTCATTCAGATGCAGGTCTCAGGGGACCCTGCAACTCCTGCACCATATTACACACCATATTACACTCATGCCTCATTTGGTATAGAAATCTCATCTCAACAGACCTATCAGGAGATTTTGGATGAACAGTGTGCTAACTAAACAAAACATAATTTGCTTATGCGGGAAATGCATTTTTGATGGCACTTAAACTGTATGAAATCTGGAAAAAGTCAAAGGTCTGTGGAAAGATTCTTGCAAAGCTTGCAAAAGGTTATACCATTTCTGATGATGCTGTTCTTTAAGCATCTCTCTCTCTCTCTCTCTCTCTCTCTCTCTCTCTCTCACCCCCCCCCACTTCGATCTCGCTCACACACACACAAATGTACAGAGACACACACTCTCAAGACCACACAATTATATCTTAATAGCACATGAAAATCCAGGTTTGCTGATGATGTCATTACATATAAAATTTTGCCTTTGTGGGCAAAATTTTCAATCACCTAATCGCCGGTGTCTGTTGGGTGTGTGCCCATAGGAAGTTCACGTGTTTGCGGGGTTAACCGACACCCACAGGAAAGACTATTTTATTTGTAGCTATCTCTTTCTTGAAGATGTGTTTGTGGGGCAGTGTGGACATGCTTATCAAGATATATGTAGTCAGTCAGAGTTTCTTGATTCTAGGAAGCCTTATTAATATGCTCGTTGAACATTTCAGAGGTGACTGAATTTCAATGATAGGGTGAGGATGTGAATTTGGGTAAACATGCTACAATACTGATATTTACTGAGCTGGTGTTTCTTATTTGCCATTTAAATTTTTGTGACCACTAAATTGTTTTTACTGTGAACTTATTGTCTTGGGAAAGAATGATCTTATATAAATGACTTAACAAGTAATGCCCCTTTTATATGTTCTGGTTTAGATGATATTTGTATTAAAATTTTGTGGACTGGCACAGTGATTATTTTCAAATCTATTTTATGGTTCTTACACTAACCAGTTATCCACAAACAAGTGTTAAGATTTCTAATCATGTTTATATTTAAGTATCTTGTTTTATTTAACTTAGCTCAAAATATAATGGAGTTGAATAATTTTACCAAAACATACTGCCATATTTGATATATAAATAAGGAACAACTGGCTCTTAATTGCTAAGTTTAGATATATAATTTAAATTAATCTTCATTAGTATAGAATGACTGGGAGTAACTACCAGCTCTACATATCAAGAATTTGATACATTGTTTTCTTAATTTTGAAATTTGCTCTTAGTATTACTTTCTTGTATACTTAACATGGATTAATTTTGGAAGGATTTGCAAAGCAACTTTATATGAATAGCACTATTTATACATCAACACATAAATTAATGAAGTTCATTTTGCTGATGTATTACGTGGTTGTTTAAAATCCGTAAAAAAGTGTGTTGTTCTTTTTGGCTTTCATGTTACTATTATTGAAAAATGTATATAGCTGAAAGAATTGACACATTTTGTACTTAGAAAAAACAAGCTACACAAGTTAGGTGACATTCTATGAGGTAAGGCTCCAGTGTGAACTAATAAATAACTTTTTGAGAAATTCCTGGGCCTGAGTATAAATTTTTATATAAACAGTTCTTTCAACATAGAGTGGAGTTCTTGCCTGAGGATGAATTATATAATTGTTTTATCAAAGATAAAAAAGTGAACAAATAGTTGGATTTAAATTTCATCTACTTTCTAAAAACAAAACATGACATGCCCACTGGGGATACAGGTTACTAAAATGGCATCTTTCAAAGAAAAGAAGATAATGGACTTGATTGAAATAGTTGAACTACGTAACGCCAATTCAAGAACAAATGGTTTTTCAGAGCATAACGGAGAGAGAACAATTTACTATAGTACAGTTTATTCTTGTTACACAATAGTAATGATTTATTTGAGATGACAGAACAAACATAATAAATATACAAAAACAACCAATGATATCTTATGCCATGGATATATTAAGTTCTTGTATTTCATATATTAGAATAATTTTAATTCATGTATTTATCTGAAGACTTTAGTTAAAACCTGTCCTCTTGCTTGGATAAATTGACTTTATAATCATGTATTCTTTCATATATATTATATATGTGTAATATGCATATATATTATATGTCTGTAATATATAATATATGTTATATATGTATAAACATATATCCTATTTGTATATGGTCTTATGATCACACTAACTGTATTACAACCAGTTTGTAAAATACTTAAGTGAGAATATTAACATATTTTGATAAAATTAAATGATGATGGTGATGTCAACTAGGTCTTACTAGCAGAGGAGCATGCTCAGATAGTGACTAAATTAATATATTGATGATGTAATTATTATAAAAACATCATATCAGAAAAATTGTAGTACTATCAAAAGGCATAACTAATTTGGCAAAGAGTATAAAAGGTTATTTAAAAATTTATTTCTTACCATTATGAATATGATTTCTAAAAAGTAGTCTTATAATTTCTTTAATGGAAAGAGAGACTGGGTCTTTTAAGAAACTTAGTCTTTAGGCGTAAGGCCTGAAATTATTTTGAGTAGATGCCTGAGCACTGTGCAGAGAATGCACAGGAACCTCAAGTCTCAAAAAGAAGGGAAACTGGTTTGGTTGCTTCATGCCTCAAATTTTATTCTTCCAAGCCTACAGGCAGACGACACTCCAAATTAATCCGAGTGAAAACTATCAAAGTTATTTTCACAATTTTCAAAAGATCTACAGCCCTGTTGATAGCCCAGGAAGGAAAAGTGTTCTAAGAGTGATTGAATGTTTCACTGCCTGAAACTCAGTCAAGCTCAGTGAGGCGCTGGGGTCAAATGGGCTCATGAATCACAGATAGGAAATGAACTGTGGATTGCGTATTTGGAGGTTTAAAAAGAAACATTTGGGATATTTTACCATCAACAGATTTGGGGTTGATTTTTGGCACATCTTTTTAAACATTAAGCCTGCAGTTCAGCTGAAATAACTTTTTATATATATAGCTAAGACCAGATGGCCACGTGCTCCTTTCTTATTTAGATGAGACTTTTCCTTTCAATAACATCTTTCTTCCTGACCTGCTTAAAAATTCCAGCGAATGAAATCAGCACAGGATTTTCAATTCTAATTGACCATGTGCAGAGGAAGGGCCAGTGAAGAAATCAGTAGAGGCATTGTGAGGCTCAGCGCCTCACATTTGTCTTTGTTTTGCACTTACTAGCCAATCTAAACTAATTGAAGACATTTAATTTTGATTAATATTAATATAGATGTGAGGTTAATCCTTATGCAAATTACTTGAGTTGATTGTTTC